AAGACACATGGGCCAATACCTGTTACAACAGGTCAGCTGACAGAGCACCATAAGGTTCTGGATTGAGCAGCCTGCATGTGGAGAGGGGAAGAGGGAGGAAGATCCATATTCTTTTGGGACCAAGCCTCAACCCTAAACCATGGGCTGAGCCAGGCTGCCAAAATAACAAAGCTTCCCTGGAGCAGGTGCCATATTCACAGGATTTGCTGTTCATTAGTCCATTTTGGCACAATTTTACATCTCCACGATCATCCCATTTTCAAAGGACACTTGATTTTACCTCAAACACCACTTTTGTTAAAACACAGACTAGGTCAGGCGTGGGGACTCACACCAGTAATCCCAGCTCTTTGGGAGGCCAAGACGGATGGATAACTTGAGACCAGGAATTCAAGATCAGCCTGGGCAACACAGCAAGATCCTGTCTCATTAAAAATAAAACTTAAATAAAACAAAAAGCAATTCATCAACCTAGCTAATCCTACAAGGTAAGTCAGAGGTAGCACTGGGAATTTAACTGACAGCTCTAGAATTTCAGTTTTACTCCCTGGAACTGGGACTAGGCTTCCTTGTTCTCTCACCAGCACACCTGAACTCAAACAGAACCTTCTGTCTGATGGGCTCCCTTGCAAATGTGGGCAGAATGAGTTCTCCAGCCACTTTATTAATAGGAGATCAGCAACCTGAGAGAAGATTGAGCTCACCAGAGTGTACAGCGTAGGTTAATGGTAGAGTGTCTGGAGGCTTTATAGAGTTGAGAGGGGCTTCAGAGAGCACCTGTGTTACACGCTGGAAGCCTGAGGCCCCAGGAGATTGCACGACCGCCCAAGACCACACAGCTTGATGACAGTGTTCCTGCACTTCAGGATCCAGTCTCCTAACTCCCAATCCCAGGTTTTCCCAGCACCCAAGAAGAAAAGATTTGCAAGGAATTCTAAAATGAGGTACAAAGTCTGTGGTACAACTTGGGGGATGAAAAAGACAATATCCTTTGAGAGTTGACAAAGAATGGCAAAAGAAAAGTCCCATAGTAGCTAGAGTTGGTTGGGGAGCTAGAAGTATATGAGGGGAACCAAAAAAAACTAGCCCAAATACTCCCTCGCTAGGCAAATGTTCAAGGAACCAATTGGCATCAGTGTACCAGTGAGTGTTGTGGTGGGAGGTTACATCCAGCTTCAGTGAATTTCTTTTTTTTTTTCTTTTTTGGTTTGTCAAATATCTGTTTATTCGTTTCCTACCCATCCATAAATTCATCTTAATTTTTTATATATTTCACAGTAAGTTGTAGACATCAGTATGTTTCTCTCCAAATATTTCAGGGTGCTTATCATTGACTAGATTTCAGTATTTGTTTATAGTTCTTTTGAGGTAATATTTGGAAACCATTAAAATGCAGAGATCTTAAGTATACTATTGAGTTTTTTCAAATGCATATACTGTTACTTAAACCCCTATCAAGACATAGCACATTACCATCACCCCTACAAAGTATTCTTCTACCCTTTTACAGTTAACCTCACCCTTCTCCACCAGAAACAGCTATGGTTTTTTCACCATAGGATAATTTTGCCTATTTTACATCATATAAATGTGCCCTTTTATGGAAAGCTGCTTCCACTCAGCATATTTTGAGATTCATCCATATTGTTGCATGCATTATAATTTCTTTTATATTGCTGATAAATATACCATTTTATGAATATGCTGCATTTTGGGGAGTTGAGATTAACAGTGAATTTCCTTTTTGGAGATTCTTTCAACATGTTTTCTCATTTCGTGATGGGTGATTTATGACCATACCTGCCCACACTGCGCCGAGTGTTCAGCAATTTTTGACCAAAACTGGCATGATCCCCATGCTCCTCCCTCCCTATTCACCCGACCTTGCCCCCAGTGACTTTTTTGTTTCCCAGAATGAAAATAGGCCTCAAAGGGAAACGTTTTGCCAATGTGGAAGAGGTGAAACAAAAAACAGCAGAAGCACTAAAAAGCATCAAAATTAATAAGTTCAAAACTGTTTCTGAGCAGTGGAAAAAGTGTCTTGATGGGTATATTGCATCAAACGGAGAATACCTTGAAGGTGACTGAAGTGTAAACATGTAAGAATAAATACATAATTTTCTTTCTTTTTGAGTTGGAGTCTCACTCTGTCGCCCAGACTGGAGTGCAGTGGCACGCTCCCGGCCACCGCAGCCTCGACCTGCTGGGCTCCGGCGAGCCTTCCACCTCAGCCTCCCAAGTAGCTGGAACTACAAGCACGTGCTACTATACCTGGCTAATTTTTTTTATTTATTGTAGAGATGAGGTCTCACCAAGTTGCCCAGGCAGGTCTTGAACCCGCGGGCTCAGGCAATTCACTCACCTCGGCCTCCCAAAGCGCAGGATTACAGGCTGAGCCACTGAGTCCGGCCACAATTTTTTAATAAATAACTTCAAAGTTTTTTTGGTCCCCCTTATATATAGTTCTCACCAAACCCAGTGTATTTGTTTCCTAGGGCTGCGTAATGAAGACCACAGACTCAGTGGCTTAAACAACAGAAATGTATTTCCTCACAGTTCTGGAGCTAGAAGTCTTAAGATCAAGGTGTTTCAGGGCTGGTTTCTTCCGAGAGCCTCTCTTTTCCACCGATCAATGGCCATCTCCTTCCAGTATCTTCACATGGTTTCTCCTCTGTGTCTCTCTGTATCCTAATCTCCTCTTCTTAGAAGGGCACTGGTCATATCAGATTAGGGTTCATCATATGACCTCTTTAAAGACTTGTCTCCAAATACAGTTACACTCTGAGGTACTGTGACTTAGGACTTCAACATGTGAATTTGAAGGAGACACAAATCAGTACTCGGTAACATTTTCTTCTGAACATACCGGCGGGGAATTGCCCAAGTTCTCCTCCTCCAAAGGAGTATTTGGGCTAGTCTGGCGGGACATTGGCCTAGAAGTTACAGTGGGACTCCTCAGTCCAGCAACCAGAGCAGAGCTCCCTGAAGAGTCACTCACCAATCTTTCAGAGCTACTGCTCTCAATTATTCCAGGCACTCCTGTCAGATTCTCCTCACCAATCTCCATGGATCTCCATGTGCAGGTACAGAATAAACAGAAGACTTTCTAGAAGAAATGGGGCTTAGTCTTTGGTTCATTCGTGGGGAACAGGACTCCTGGGTTAAAGAGTGAGAGGGAACCACGAAGGAGATGAAAGTTATGTTGTGGCCCTGGCCTGGCCCCAAATGAGCAGTGCCCTCAGGCCCTGCCCTGGTGAGACTGCTGCCAACACAACTGGCCTGGTTTACCCTGAGGGGGTGAGTGGGTGGGGCAGCACCTCCCTCTGGCTTCACACTTTCTTCAGATTCCTCACACATCTGCAGCAACTTCCTGCAGACAGAAATCTGTTGGTGCCTGTTTGGAAACCCACCAAAGCAAAGAGCAAAGCGGCATCCAAACTGGTAGGAAACGCTGTTTCAAGTCTGGAAAATAGTCTTTAAAAAAAAAATTGGCCATGAAGATAGGACGGAAATTATATCACTCAGGGGAAAGTGTATGTAGATAAAAATGAAATTTTTTAAAAAAGGTGCTATAGGTCATGCCTGTAATCTCAATATTTTGGGAGGCCGAGGTGGGAGGATTGCTTGAGCCCAGGAGTTCAAGACCATTCTGGGCAACACAGCAAAGCCTTGTCTCTACAGAAAAATCAAAAAATTAGCTGGATATGGTGACCCACACATGTAGTCCCAGCTACACAGGAGGCTGAGGCAAAAGGATTGTCTGAGCCCAGGAGGCCAAGGCTATAGTGAGCCATAATCATGCCATTGCACTTGTGGGTGACAGAGTGGGACTCCAACTCAAAATAAATAAATTAATAGAGCCAGGTAACCAGGCGTGTGCTATATAAGGAATTTAAAAATTAGGAAATCCAAAGTCTATGTGTGAAAAATAGTATCATTTGAATATAGAGACAGAAAAATGTTGGGTCCTTATCTTAAGGACTGAGTAGACATACAATTAAAAATGAGTGAATGAGCTGGGCTCGGTGGCTCAGCCTGTAATCCCGCGCCTTTGGGAGGCTGAGGTGA